GCTTTTTTTTTTTTTTTTTTTTTAAAGTGAACATTGCCACTCGTTTTAGTCTCCGTCTCTCCTAATGAGAGATCCAGAGCTTTCCAGTCTTCTTCCTTGGGGTTGTTGGGCACTCAGTGAAGGAGGTGATAAGTTCATGTACACATCCCTCTTCCCCTGTTTAATATTCTGCCAAACAGTTCTGCAAATGCATTTCATAACGCTGCCTCTTTGCATAGAAAAGAGACACCCCCTTCCTCTGTCAAAAATACATTCTGCATCTGAAAACAGAAGATAGTAATTCCAGTTCTTGAAAAACATGTTTATACAACAATCCACAGAGACCGGCACCGTCAGGCGATTAGATTGCACTGTGATTAAAACCAGTTCATTGCAACTACTCAGTGTGGATGGAGGATTGCTGGACAGGCTCCGTCATCTTGGAGGAAACGAGGAGCGTGTCTGTCCTGCAGTGTCAGTCGCAGAGCCAGCGCTGTTGATCTGGATTGATCTGGATGACGAATATTTCGGCGATGGGAGCCCTTTGTGCTCACCCCGTGAATCCAGTAGATCTTGGCCCTGGGTGAGGATCAACATAATTGGCCATAAATACGGAGTAACTGAAAAATAGTTCAAACTGTGCTATGTATAAAAGAAAGAACCCCCAAACCAAACCCCTTTAATCTATTTTTAGCTCTTCTTGGTGTTCTCTCCTTTTGCTTAACAGTAGATATTGTAGTTCCTCTTCTTGAAACGGGCACGGCTTTGTTCATGTCTGCTGCTTGGCTGCTGCCTCTGACATGCAGGGTGTTTTTTGTTGTTCCTGCAAGTCAGCCTCTTGCAAAGATTTTGATTTAATGAGTCAGGTCTACCCATACAGTAATTACAAAGATTAACTTGGGTAGATGTGAAACAGATGTATAAAACTGTTTGGACCTGGCTCCGATGCAACCTCTTAATCAGTGGTTTCATCCTTTCTCTGACTTAACTCCCGTTTCACAGATTAAACTATTAATTGTAAAATTACTGACAAAAATAATATTTTCTTTCTGTTTTGCTCATGGACGTGCCTAATTCCTTATCATAGCTCTTTGTTTCTTTGAGTGAGAACATGACATTGCTTAGATGCTTCTGTACAAGGGAATACAGCTCTCGAAACCAAAGCAAAACAAAACTGGTCTACCCAAAGGGTTGCTCTAAGGTTAACTTTATCTAGAAATAATCAGCTTTTGTAGCTCACTTTATAGCATATTGCTCTTACTTTTATGAAACTGAAGTGTCTTGGAGCGGTTTCCTGTGGACTTTTTGAGGAATAACTGGTTTTTCAGAGATTTGCTGGGGAACCTGCCCCCCCTCCACCCCCATTTGAAGACATAAATTGTATTATGAGTGAAAAGCAAGCTGCATGCTTGTGTCTGCTAGAGCCCGTAGTGGTGCAACCCTAGACAATCATGGGTGTTTCTATTCATGAGTAGCCAACCAAATCGTGATCTGGGTATTTTGAGCCTGCCTGATCTTCTGAATCAACCTGCAGAGAAATGCACTCCATTTTGTGCTGACTTGGGACTCCGTGCAGGGCTAGCCAGTGTTGCGTTTTCCACGTAGCATCTGTAAACTCTGTTGCATTCGCTGTGGGCGCTTCAGCGTTGTGAACTGCTGACCAGGACAGCAGTAATTGGGTACTCCAGGCTCTGGTTACAGAAAGCCAGATTTGCAAGGTCTTGAATAGCAGGGCTTCCTGGAAGAAGAAAAAATTGCAGTTAGTGAGTGTTGATCCCCCCCCCCGCCCCCCAAACTGCATTATTGGAACCTCTTTATCTTTGCATCTTCCAGGTATCCACACTTGACTGAATTCTGGCTAATCTCAGTAAAAGCACGGGTAGATCGCAGGGCTTGTTTGGGGAGGGAGGAAGGAGCTTGGTAATGTAATTACCACTGAGATATTCCAGACTAAGGAACGAGAGAAGTCAAAATGCACTTGCACTTTGGTCTCAAAACAGTAGGTTTTGATTGCAAGAGATTAGATTGTACCAGTGTTTTTCAAAAGGTTCAGCCTGGATTTTCTGGAGAAAGTTTACTCCAAGATTTCCTGTTTTCCTGCACGCTGGTGTATGTGAGTGGCAGGATTTGAGAGGGCAGAGTAAAGCTGAACTCTAGTTCTGCTAAATTAGTGTCACGATCTGTATGGAGTGCAGTGCAGCTAGCGTAGTTAGTAGATCATACTCTCCCAGATCCAGAAGTAAAGGCAGGGTTTCTCCTTGAAGGCCTGCATGCACTTCCATATGATTTGGCAGCCCTTGGTATCCACTTGGTATCCAGTAGAGAATAAATGCTGGAAAATAAGCATTCTCCAAAAGAAGGATGTGCTGGGGCAACATGCTTAAAGAGCAGCTGTTGCCAGGAAGTAGTTTTTCTATATCTGACTTTCTGCTGCTGTCTCAAACGACGCCCTCGCCGGCTGGCGCAGCGTGTGATCCCTGGCTATGGACCGGCTTAACTAAAGGGTTACTGCAGCCCCTGGTTTCCCTGCCCTGCGAACGCAGGCATTGATCTGAAGGGTGTAATTAGAAATGCTATTGATGGCCCGGGAGGGGAGTCGTATGTTTTATCTCTGGCGCAGGAATTCAGGAGTGAGTGGGAGAGACTCTTAATTTGTAACAGGTTTTATTTGCAATCTGACTTGTACACAATAAACGGGTAGCGGTGGTATTAATGAGCATCTGAAAGGAGCTTTTTTTCCTTCCTACAAGGTGGCACTTCACTGTAGAGAGGCTAAAACCGAAGAGTGGGTATGCAGGGTGTTGAGGAGCTTTCACCTGAAAGCGTGAAAGCACACAGTAGTTAAAAAGCAATGCTTGAATAGTTGGAGAAATACCAACGTATGCCAGGTACAGGATGGATCGGCACATTTATAAAAAGCCAGAGAAGTGCTTTTCCACTCCATGATGGTTGCTTACACTGTATTGAAATGTGCACCATGACTATTAATTCTATCCGATGGCTCTTCCTAGAATTCTGTTGAGATGTGTGCAGGGAGGAATCTGTGTTTTTGGAGCATATAAAAATGCTTTCAACTGATATTTCAGTGCTTAAAAAACCTGATTTGATAGTTTGAGTTCTCCTTCTAGACCAATAAAGTCTTCGAAGACTTTACTCTTGTATTCAAAAATGTTTATGGAAGTAAAGCCTGAACACATGAGACAAAAGCTAGCCCCTTGTCTGTCAATATTTAAATTGAAATGTGATTCCTTTTTTCTGCTGACCAGTTCACTCAGCCTTCCAAACAGTACAGAAGTTTTCTTATCTCAGTTGTTTGAGGAGGTATGTACAGCACTAATGCTAAACTGTGGTACCTGTGTCATAGTTTCCATGCCTTAATCTTCTTAGTGAATCTGTAGCCTGTCTTATTCTGAAAATGCAATGTTTTTGAAACCCTGTTCTGCAGGCTAAATCTCTCTTGAATTTTACTGGATCATAATTTTTCTAGATGGTGTTGATGGGATTCTGTCATGTTGCTAAAAATGCAGTCCCTAGTATTCTGATCTACAACTTCCATGATCATTTCATAGAGGAAAAAAAACTTCATGAGGGACAAAGGACGAGTTAGCAAGAGGTACTGTTCAGTCCAGCGCCCATTTAATTTCTTGAACATTTCACTTATTACAGTTTTAAAAAGTTGCTATATTGGAATGAGAGCCACAATTCTTTCTAAATGAAACATCAAACCTTTGAAAGAACTGCAGAGTGATAGGATACTAAAGACTTGGTTTTCTTGAACGGTGAAGGAGCCGATGCAGGACCTACGAGACAGGTGGTGCGTGGTGTCCCCAGGTGCTGGCAGAGCCCGGTGCCCTTGGACGACAGCAGCCTTGCACCAAAGCACACCATACCTGTGGCTTGGGTGTCCAGCCGTGCACTCCTCTTCTTCTGCAGTGACTTTTTCTGATGGAAATGCTGTCAAAATTTAGATCTGCTGCTTGGACAGAGTTTCGCTTCTGAGTATTAACTGTTTAATTGCCTGCTTCCTACGAGGTTCCCTGAACAGATGCTTTAAAAGTGAATCCTTCAAAACATTTTTACAGGCATGTTAACCTTTTTTTCCTTAGCGGTGTGCACTGCAAAAGTGAACTTCCCATCTTGGAGATGCAGGAGAAGGTTAAGCCACGGATGGAGCTGGCTGCGGAGGGACAGAGCGTGGGAGCCAGAGCGGGATCGGGGGCCGTGGTGCCTGCTGCCTCCCCGGGCAGCTCGTTGCCAGCGGTCTGTTGGGTTTCAGTGGAAACTTCCACACGTCGAATGTGGGTCAGCTCGAGAGGTGGCCCTGGTCCCGTGCCACCAGCGTCCTGCGGCACTGAAGCGGTTAAACTGCTCTTCTGGTGTCCTCGCAAGATGAAAACTATTTTAGTCCCATGACACGAGCACTATGGGAGTTTAATGCTACAGTTCATTAAAAATGGAGGCTGGCCAGAGCCTCAGAAATACGATTCGGTAGCTTAGGCTTCCCACGTCCAGAGCACGTCGGAAGGAACGATCTCTGCTGAACTCAAAAACACGGGGAGCACTCTGACGCAAGGTTGCTGCCGAACTCATTCGCGTAGCCGTATTCCTCTTTGTCGGGGAAAACTTTTTGCAAAACGCAGACTCCCTCTGTGCTGGAGGTGCCTTGTGTGCCGTCCTCCCGGCAGAGCTGAGCCGGCTTCGGACGGAGCCGGTGCAGAGCCGATGCCTGGAGGATCCTCCCCTCCCACTGCAACCTTTACCAGTCTCGTTGAGCAATTATCTCTACCAAGCAGAATAATTCCTTTATTTTATTTTATTTTCCCCTCCCAGCAGTGTTACAACTTGTGGCTTCCTGCTCGCTGCAATAGTGTCATAACTATCAATTACCACGGCTGTGCTGTAGCGCTTGTCACGAGCCGGTACGCGGTGTGTGTTTGTGTATTGCTTTTTGTCGTCTTCGGTGATGAAGGAGTGTTTGTTCGTGTCCAGGCCAGATGCACGAGGAGCAGCATGGAAGTACTGCCGCATCGGTCGGGTTTTATAGCACTGTTGAAGGCCCTGAAGTAGCTATTGCAATGGTTTTCAATGGGCTTCTAATTAGAAAAGCATTGGACTAATAGGATGAGCTATAATTAGCAAGACCTGCCCTCTAGATAGCTAATCGGGGACCAGAATACAGTTGCATATCCATTCATTAAGTTTCTATATCTGCACTTTTGTAGCAATTTGTTTAACCTATTGGAACCTTTTGGGGTGCTTAAAATAGTAAAACAAGAGAAGATGTACTGGGCACAATCTCCCAGCTTTTGGGACAAGATGACCTCTGAGCTTGCTGGAGTTCGGTCGGGGGGGGACAGTTTGATCCTCAGGTGGGTGTCAGAGGGGTGACCCTTTACAGCCCTTTTCCCCTATCCAGAGAGGAGAACTAGAAGTCAGTGAGCTGTTGTCTTGCCTCCTGGACAAAAGAAAATAGCTCTGCAACTTTGAGGAGGGAAATGACTCAGTTCTTGGTGGCTTAGCAGAAATAAGAGGCCGAGCTTCCAAGGAGTCATCTTGGCAGCCAGTGTGCATCAATTACTTTGCTCCACCTACAGCCCAGCACTGCTGCCGTCTGCCCCGAGAGCTGACACCGGCGGTGTGTCAGCATGCTCAGCCCTGTGCAAGACCCGCTGCTGAAATTGTGGCTGACTGATTATTCACTTTGTGCTGGGTAAAAGCAGGCTGTGATAAGGGGCGTTTGACTCGGCTTGTGCTGCTGGCGCAGGTAACTGCCGATCCAGTAGTACGGCAAAACTAGTTGGTTTTTCTAACTGACCAGTGTACGCTGGCTGTGGGTTTCTTCCCTCAGTGTTTTTATAGAGAGGGAAAGGGGAGGTTTGGATGTCATACGCTGTATGTACAGGCTCATAAAAGGATTTTTGTAAAGCATAAGTGAGTGTGGGCCAGCAGAACTTTTTCTGGAGTAAGAAGCAGATAAACACATGAGCATGTTCTTTTAGAATTATTTTTACATGCTATCCTACAGGACAAAAACTTCTCTAAGTTTGCCCCGGCTTGTGCTGGGGGGGCAGGTAACTGCCGATCCAGTAGTACGGCAAAACTAGTTGGTTTTTCTAACTGACCAGTGTACGCTGGCTGTGGGTTTCTTCCCTCAGTGTTTTTATAGAGAGGGAAAGGGGAGGTTTGGATGTCATACGCTGTATGTACAGGCTCATAAAAGGATTTTTGTAAAGCATAAGTGAGTGTGGGCCAGCAGAACTTTTTCTGGAGTAAGAAGCAGATAAACACATGAGCATGTTCTTTTAGAATTATTTTTACATGCTATCCTACAGGACAAAAACTTCTCTAAGAAGTTGTTTCCCCCTCCTTTCTCTGCTTTACATGCAACTTCATGGAAGCTTCTGCAGGGAACGGTGATGTGGTCCCAGGTATGACCAGGAACAGAGGGACAACTGACTTCATCCGTGTTATGGGGTGTGGCCAGTGGTGGTACCCCACCAAAACCTCCAACTGTATTTAGCCAGTGCATCCAGCTTGGCATTAAAACTTGCTCTGATGTCCTTTAAGTGAAAATACCAAATTGTCACTAAATTGCTGAGCTGAGCCCCTGCGTGAACATGTGTGTGACTATGGTGTCACATCCAAAGACGACTGCCTTCGTTTGCATCTCTCAGTGTTCCTGCCACTTAAATATTAAGTAATATTACCTTCATGTAGGTAACACTGGACAAATATTACCTTGTTGGCCGCATCTTACTAGCTGTTAAAATGCTCGTCCAGGGGCCTGCTGGTTTGTTGGACAAATTAAAAGCAACGAGTTTCTTTCTGAAGATGTGTCTTCAAGTGGTGTTCTCCTGCACGTGCACATGGACCCGTACTGCTTTTGGCCAAGAAGTAAAATGGGGAGGTGGCACAGCGACTGCTTTAAGACTTGCCCGGAGCAAGCTCCTGTGGTACCGGCCGTTAGGACAAATGCAGATCTTGTAGGTCTCTTCTTTCTCGAGGGAAACAGTCAGAAATGGGAATGCTGGTTCCAGCAGTTGTTTGGGTCAAACCAGAGATATCAAGAAGCAGTTGGTTTCCTCCTAGAGTGTTAACGTAAGAAGCAACGACTAAAGAAATAAGGAGTAAGAAAAGCAGTAACTTTAAAATATTTTTGCGTGTGCTTTTGTTTTTAATCCGAAAGCATTCGAACACAAGCCTGACTTGCAGTTCCTTTTCTTAAAATAATGGGATGCAGTCTTCTCATCTTTCACACGGGTGCCAATGTTTAAAGACGACTGTCTCATCAGCGAGCATGTTTTGGGTGAAGGTGGTGGGCATGTCACCAGGTATACTAACCGGCTTGTCTCCTCCCTCAGGATCCTCGCTGCAGTCACTTTCAGCCACTCGGCCCGGTCACAATCCCACCTGGAACCCATGAACTTCACTGACAGGTAGGAGTTGTGAATAAGATGGAGGATGAGTCTCTAATATTGCACAAGCGCCCCCTCTGCCCCCATTCAGTACTGAAAATAGGGAGGTGGGCTGGGAGGGTGGAATTGTCTTCTGGTCTTTTGCACCTCAGCTCCTGCCTTGTCCAGAAGGACAAAGAAGAGCTGTAGCGGAGCTCCAAGATTAAACTCGGATCAGAATTCGGTTCCTGTGCCTTAACGAAAAGTGGCCTTTCACTTAGCACTTAATCCATGCTCCAAAGTAGGTAAATCTCCCTAGTTTACTAAGGGACAAAGAAGTTTCACTTCCTTTTCACTGGGCATTCACAACAGCTGCACAATATTGTCGGTCTTGAACAAGAGGAGAAGCAAAAGCAAGCACACAGGAATTCCTCCCTTGAGACTTTCTGTATATTTTGATAATTTGTGCAACCCCCAGAAGAAAAATTCTGAATGGAAATTAAGTTTCTGCAGATATCTTGTAGCTCTGGCAATGCTCTAGGGGCGTAGCTAAAGTAAAGCTCTCTTGATCAGCTGTCCTGTGTGTGGTGGTGCTCACCTGCCCCACTGTATTGTCAAACGAAGCATTTTATAAATAGCAATTTAAGGATGTATCCAATGTTTGGGTTTTTTTTTTTCCCCCTCCAAAACATGTATTGCCAGGGCTCCGGTGATGAGTGTTAAGCATTTCTGGTCTTCACTTTTCTTGCAGTCTCGTTTTTCCTGGTGTAGATGTTGATGTCTCTGCTCACAGATTTACTCATTTCGTTTACTGTGTTTTACCAGAGTCAGCTTCAGAACTAATGTTGTACAAGCCATGAGCACCACTGATTTTTTTGGCTATTTATTACATAAGTTCCCAAATATTTCAAAGTAGTGCCATCTTTAATGACACCAAAAGGCTAAGTGAAATCATAAAAACACCTTTCTTAATGACATCAGTCAGAGGTGAAGGAGTAGGAGTAACAGTGAGAGTAGCAGAGAGTATCACACTTGCACGTCTTGACCGTAGTCATGGAAATTTCTTAATCTGCTCTCCTGTTCAGTGAGTTATCACCATAAAACACCTGAAAAACATAGCTCTGTGCCGTTGTAGAGCAGTGTGCATAAATACTATCTTATTTTGCCAATTCAGCTTGTTATCCAAATACTGCATTTTGAACCATAATCGAAACTGGTATTTAACGGCTCTCCTGCACGGAGGAATCTCTGTGATTTTTTTGGTAATACAAAGCCCAGACACAGTCATTAGCAGACTTCCTGCCCAGTAGTTTCTAGACAAAAATAGATCCATAAAACTTGGGGGAGAATTCAGGTCAAACAAATCCCTCGTGTAGTGGCTGTAAGTAGTACCCTCTAAAAAGACCTCTTTAAACCCAAAGCAGTGGACCTGAAAATTAATATAATTTTAAAGTTCTCTTTAGAAGAATTGGAATATTGATTGGTAAGTAAGAAAATTCCTTAGTTGTTTAGATCTTTCTTTTGGTGCCTTGTCCTTTGTATCCACTTACACCAGTTCCCTCTATGAATCGTACTGAGGCTGTGTTAAATAATTCATATTGGGTTGAACGTGAATCCACAGTGCGGCACTTCTTGGAGAGGAGTGATGCTGAAGCCAGTTTGGATGGTCTGTGTGCACAGAGAGCCTCCCTTCTCTTAAGTTTTTAAAATGCAGAAAACCCAAGGAATTGGCTGTGTTATAATATGCACAGCGTGTGGTGCTGGAAAAGCTGATTGTTGTTGTGACTGAGTATTTAAAGATGATAATTTTGCTGCTCTTGCATTAAAATAAATGAAGCAACCTAGATCCCTCCTCTAATAAGAAGCATACATTAAATGGGGAGGGGAGTGGAAGAAGGGGAGAGGATCTGATTGCAATCTACAGTGCCGTTACTTAATATTTAAATCTGTTCCCATCAAATAAAAGTTTAAATCAAGTTGTAGTCCTGTAAGTGGAAGGTTTTCTTTTTGGGTCAAAATAAACACTGGATAAACAGTTTTTAATGATTAGTTAATATCCCTGAGGATCGATGTGCCTAGAGAATCCATACCTTGAAGAAAGGCAGAGTCTTTCTCACCGAGGTGGAGTCAGACTGTGCACTTCTGGTAATAGCTGGTGTCTTTTAACAAAACGACTTTGATGTTGTCATTCTTTGGCTGCCTCATGTGAGGGTGGTTGAATTCCCCGGCAAGCTCAGGGGTGACAATGAACCAACTCCATACTGAACCGTGGAGTTCATTCCTGAAAACTACAGCTATGAATCACGATCACAGAGCATGCGAAAAACTGGCACCGCTCTGCAGAGCGAACCAGGGAATCTGTGTCATTGTGGCAGGACTGAGAAGTGAGGGGTTTGGTTTTTTTTTTTTAGGCTGAATATTCTGAGTAAAGAATAGCAACACTAGTAAAAGGTATTTAGGAGAAAAACCTGTTGTTTTTATGCATTTTTTAAAATGGCTTTATTGTAATTATTTTTTCTAAGATCACCTTGACAGCAAACACTTCTCTGAAGTTCTTACAAAATTTTAGCAGATTACCAGATTGATTTCTACAGGCAACAGCTATTTTCTATTTACACAGCTACACGTTTAATGTAATCTATGTGGCACATTGAGCTTTCTGTTAAGAATCGTGAATGCTTCTTTGTTATACAGAGCACTTAGATAGTGGTTAGACTCCAGACTTCGTTAATAAATGGAGCCAAACTCGGCCATAATAGTGATTTATATTTTTTTTTAAGGTGCGTTGACACAAATAGAACAGAAGGCAGAAGGGTGACTCCTAGTGCAGTGGGACTTCAGCTACTGAAGTCCCATTTCTGGCCAAATGCAGAACTTCATGTTTGTGGTGCTCAGAGCTCGACTTCAGTGCCTTTCTACAAATGTTTGTCTGTTCATTTTAGTAAATATTTAGTCAAACCCAGGCTGAATTGCTTCCTACTGCACTATAATGACTGTGAGCAGTTGCAACGTGGGCACGGCGTGTGTCTTAGTGCCTGGTCACTTGGATGGAAATAAAAGCGGCTTCTGCGAGGCTCGAGGTGCAGAAGGAGCTGCTGCAGGTGCTCGCTCTCTGAAGCCGGGCACCGGGAGCAGCTGTGGGGATGTCGTGGCTGTTTTCAGGACAGCGTAGGATTCTGGTACCCCACATCTTGGCTGTTTCCCTTCAGTGATTCATTGGGCTGGTATCCCTGAAATGATGCTTTCCTGCTGGTGGACCGCTCCGCTGCTGTCCCCTGGCCAGCAGAGAACTTTCCTCTGCTGCCTCCAGATGCCTGACACCCGTGGCACAGAGGAAACTTCTGTGGGCTCCGTCTCCTTTTAATTGCAAGTACTTAACAGTCCTAAGCAAGCTCATTTATTTTTCCCTGAATGCTTAAAGAAGGGGGAAATAATAATAATAGTAGAAAAGGGAGGCAGGACTGCGCAGCCGGGAGGTGCTGCGGTGGCCGGATGGCGTGAGCACATGCAGCTGAGCAGCGTGGGAGCCCGGCGAGGGAAGGGTTAAGGGCTGCCATTTTGTTATGTAACACCCTTAATGGACATATCAGTGAATGGCACCAAAATGGCAGGGCTTAACCCTTGGTGGGCTGCAGTGCTCAGCCAGCCAGGGGCTGGGAGCCTCTCCCCGCTGGGAGCAGCGAGTGGGCTGCAGAGCAGGTACCCTCCTCTCGTCCCTTCTGCTGAAGGGGGGCTTCAGCACTTGCAGTTCTTCTTCTTTTCAGGTCTCATGGTATGGAAATAATGGCTGAGATAGCAAAATGATCAACCCACCTCTGGCTGCTCTCGCACTTTTTGTTGCCTTCATCGGGGAAAGAATGAATTTTTGGTTGCCCAGTTGAATTCAGGTGCAGAATGATTCCCCCCCCCCCTGCAAAATAACCAGTGTTCTTGTCCTCCTGCTGTTGCATTAATTTAGTCTTTAAAAAAAATAAAATCTAGTTCTTACTTTGGCTTTCTAAAGTTTATCTTTCTAAATATCTACGTGATAAGGTCATGAACTTCTCTGTGTGTGCACATTTATACGCATGCACACAGTAGTGCACAGACACACACACACACACACATATATATGTAAATTGTAATGACTTTTTCCAGGACATCTCAATTCTGGCTTCGTGATCAATGACTGTGTAGGAGAAAAACCCACTTATAGCATAACAAGAAAATAAGCTCAGTTGAAACAGTGACTTCTCGTTGAAACTTCTTACATCCCGCTGGGAGAAATTGATTTCTAGGCATCGTGGGGAGGGTGCGTGTGGATGATCCAAGGCGACTGCATGGGCTGCACTTGCAGGAGGCCTGTCTGCTGTGCACATCGGGTCTGTGCTGGGTGCCAGTGACTGTTCAGAGTCAGTAAGTTTTTGATCAAGTACCTTTTCAGTGAGGGGCATTGAATGTGTCTTAACCTCCCTGTTTCCTCCTCTGTAACCTTGTCTCCCCCGTAAAAGTTTCCAGGGGGAAGAGCGTTGTTGATCTTTGGGTTTGGCTACCAAAAAGAGCGGGTATCGCATAGCTGGATGGGTTAGTGTGCGTCTGCAGTGGGATTCGAGCCCGTCTGCAGATGGTCTGTGCTTGAACCCCTATCTGCTGCCGGTGCTCGCCAGCACTGCTGATGACTCTAGCAAAGCATCGGGATGTAATTTTAACTTCAGTCCTTTTAACTTCAAACTACCAAGTTGTGCTAAACAATGAAAAGTAAGCAGAACTAATTCTCTGTGAAGGAATTACTTGGAGCTTGTATGAGGAAGTTATAAATCATGAACGGGAGAGAAGGCGATACAGATAACTCTGAATGTGATGGGGGAAAAGTGGAAGTGTACATTACAAACAGCAAGCAAAGTGTGCTGCTTTTTTTTTTCTTTTTTTTCTTTTTTTGAATTGTGGTTTTGTCTTCATGTACCGTGTCGGTGTTCTCGGTGTGCTTGTGCATTGAACCTGTTTCAGCTGCCGCCCTGGTTGCCTGTTCATGCCCTGGTCAGGCAGCAGCCGGGTGAGCCGGGGCATGGCTTCTGCAGCTGCTCGGGTTTATTCCGGGCTGGACTGCACATCTGAAAAAATGAGCACAAAGTAATTCATTTCCCAAGTCTTAAACTTGAGTTTTTTCTAAGAGTTTTTTCTTCTTCTGTAACTTTTCCCTGCAGTGGCAAAAGCAAGCAAGCAGGTGATTGCTGTAGCATCCCCAGCCCTTTGCGAGGGGATGGGCTGTATATCACGGTGTCCTACACGTCCCTGCTGGAAAAGACACTGGCTGAGTTAAACCAGGTTTGTCGTCTTGGTCTTGCTGCTCTGCTCTTCAGAGGGAGGAAGGGTTTGGAAGATGGCAAGAGAGCTCTTCTGACCCTTTTTCCAATGGAAAGCATGCAGATGGCATCACAAGCGTACACGATGTTTACCAGGCTAGCATAAATATGTTGTGAACTCGGGAGGTTTGGGGTTTTTCCTGTTGTCAGTGTGCTCAGAGGGCAGTGGAGCTGCATGGGGGAATTTTTGACAAGGCTTCAGGGTGACCAATGTAATGGCCTGCAGTCCGAGGAGTTTACTGTGTTTTATATGGTATACTAAACTGCCTTTTGAATTGATCGTAGTAGTTAATCTGTTACAGCGATAGCACTTACAACTGAATATTTGCTGCTTAGGTCCTGGGTGCTCGGCCCTGAGCTATGCCATTCCTTGTAATAAAAAGCAGAACCTTCCATAAAACTTAAAATTTACTGTGTAATCCTCACTTTCTCTTCCTTCTTTCAAATAAAAGGTATAGCCAAGTTGAACCGAAGCTGTTTACTGTTCATGTTGATCGGTTCCTTTTGCTGTTAACGGCGGAGAAGCAGAAGTGGGGATTTCGGGAATAGCTTCAGAAGTTATATGTTATCCTTGAAACAGCCTGGATGTTTTGAAACATCTAGCTGATTTATTCTCATCTAGTGGAATCCATTGGTGGAGGTGGGATCCCAATAAATCCTGCAGACTGGATCCCCAGACTGGGGATTAAGCAAATTGCCAGATTTGCTATCAGGAGAGAGTTTTCTTCCCAGGTGGGTTTGGGTTTCTCTTACCTCCTCCTGTCGTGCAAGGAGCCGCTCGCGTCCTCTCCATGAGCAAGGACACCGTCCCTGCTGGCGCAAGTCTCTGCGGGTGTGCTCTTCCTCTCTTCCAGGGCACCCGTCTGGTTTTAACCTTTTCCTACGGACCTTGAGTTTAGGCTGTTTTGGGAAGTGTTTTGTAGTCTGCCGTATGAAACAGATCCTGGCAGGGACTCGCCTAGACTGTACACCTGCTTCTCAGTGCCCTCTGACTTGCAGGAGGTGGGACCCAGTAACCCAGGTGATTCCCATAAAAGACACTGACGTTACCAGTTTTCATCTCTCTTCCTGAAAAGAAAGGCAGAAGAGCCTTTTTAAAGAAATCTTTCTCATTATTCTCCTCCCCTTCTCTCAGTGCCACATTAATTTTCCTTTAGGTCTCTCTGCATCTGTGTCCATGTTAGTAAATTGTTTCTGGTACTATTCCCTGAAAGGGTTAAAATTATTTTAGGGAGCTTAGTTTTAGGGCCTATCTACAATAAATATGATTTAATCACTATTGTGGTAGGGGAACCGTGCAACCAGATCTCTCTATTACAGTGTATATAAACCTTGAGCCTGCACTCTCAATCTTCAGATTTAGCTGTAAAAAATCTTAGTGCAATCTCATCCCAAGGTCTTTCCAGTAACGTAGATCTTCACAACACGCTGCTTCGGTTGTGCTACAGATACTCTTCTTCTCTCTAGCAATTGCTGTCCCCAGTTGCTGCTTTCCAGCCTATGTCGTTGCGACAAGACGCTGTGAATTTTTAACAAAAGCTTGGACTGAATTTTGATGTGCAGAAAAGTTGTTGTAGCATCAGCACCATTCCTCGAAGGAAAACGGAGGTGTTTCTTTTTGACTGTGTGAGTAGGGAACGCACAGGGAAGCCGAGGTGGCTTCCAAGTAAAGTTTGTCCGTGTCTGACAGGGGGGTGATGGTTACAAGGAGAAATGGCTGCTGCTAGTTCGTGAAGGAATTGCAGGGTGCAAGACATGATGTCCTCGAGAATGTGTAATATGAGAGGGTTTTGCTGGAAAGGTACATTGTGCATTTTCATCAAGGTGTTAATCTGTTCAGTCTGACCTTTGTAGGGAGTTTGTGTACGAAGGGTTTGCCCCTGGAAATGCTCCGAGTAGAGTGCTTCGTGCCTGCCTCTCTCCATCACTCTGAGATGAGCTGTCTTGGTTAGCTGGAAAACAGGTGCTTAGCGAAGTATTCAGTATGAATTACCCATCTTTACGTTAGGATTTTGACTGCATTAATTTTTTAAGTAAAACTTGGTGCCGATAGGAGGTTTAGATCGTTTCCATTGCTTGTGACATTAAGGCAGGTAAGCGAGATTCAGCCGTGAACGCAGAGTTCTGCCTGGCAGCTCTGCGTGTGATCTGCTATGAAATATCCCGGTACAGCTCAGGATACTGCCTTTCCCCATCCCAATCAAAACTGGGAAAAACGAAGGAGTAGAAATACAGCATCGTGTAAACGTTCTTAAAGTTTGGAGCCTGAGTGACTGAAGTGCTGCTGTAGCTCTTCGGATCAGCACAGGCTGCTGGTAGTTGCTGCTTCTCATCCGTCCGAGGTTGGAGAATATGAAGACACTGAAAATAAACCCAGATCAGGCTTTTTTTTTTTTTTTTTTTTTTTTTAAGGAGGTTTCCTACTGACTAAGCAGTCTTGCTTCAGGAAAGTCACTGTGATTAATAGCACATCTCAGTATACGTAAGCTGGGTGATAGCTGGCCGGTCCTTTGTTTTAGCCCTGGGTTCAGATGCGTTTGCATTGAGTTAATAGGAATAAGATTTGCGATTCACGGCCAGGCTGTCTGATCGCTCGTTCAGGGGGAGAAGCAGTTGTCATGCTGCCGTATTGTCAGCAGAGATACTTAAACCGAGGTACTATTATAGTTAAAAGCTGTGCTTTCAGAGGGCTGTCTGAGCCGGAGCGGGGTTTGGAAAGGGCTGCTGCCTGTCAGCTGGGGTACGCTGAGCTGCACCGAAAATCTCCGTGCCGCTGGCTGCCTGCCTGGGCTGTGTGCTGTTTACTCACTTCCATAAATACCGAAATTAACTTAGCCTTTCTGTAAAGCACACCTTTGTTCCATTATTGTAAGTTCAAGCATGGTCACACTATAAATGCAGATCAGCCGAGGGGAGGCACTTTGTGTATTGACTATGATTTTAATGTTCCCCCCCCCCCGTTAAAAAAAAAAATTTCATCCAACACGTTGCAGAGAAACTTGTGGTCACTTGCAGGGGGCTTATACTATCAAAATGGCAATTTCACATCATGCTTCTGTGACATTGTTGAATAACGGGGTGGTGGGGGTGAGCAGAGGTTAATTATGTTGCGTAATTATGTTAATCTCTCGCTGCTAAAAACATTTCAAAGACTATAGTCCAACTATTGTGTGTTGGCCTTACTCTTGAAATCCATTTCAAAAGGAGGAGAAAAAATATCTGGGATGGGAGGAATGCTTAAAATAAATAAATTAATAAATGGGTTAATTAATTAAAAAATTGGGGGGGGGGATTTCTCTCCCTCTCCCCCCACCCCACCCCATGCCACCCCCTTGGTGCCTGGTGTTGCCAAGCACCCAGAGGGATGCCTGAGGAGGAGGAGGAGGGATGCTCCAGGGTGCCGGCCGGGGGCGGGGTTAGCCCCGCTGCGGGTTGCCTGCCGCCGGCTCAGACTGGTTTCTGGAAAGTGCTTTGTCTCGCAGGCTGCATCCTGGGAAGGGTCATGTGGAGCCCAGTGATGTCATGGGATCAAAGCCTGACTCAGCTCCGCGTCTGATGGATGGGTGTCCGCAGGTACCGAAGTGCGGGCTGAGATGTCAGAGCCCACCAGGAGCAAAACTTCCCGCGCCTCCGGCAGGCGAGGAGTTAAGCCTGGTTCCCCCCCAGCCCAGCGCTTCCTCTGCCGCCTGGAAAAGCCTGGTTCCTTCACCAGGAGGGGAGAAAGTCTCAACTTGAGTATTACGGTGGCAGTGCCTTAGCGCCTGGCGGCAGGCTGTCAAGAAATATGGAAGCCTCTCTTCACGCAGGGTGTGGTGGTCCTTTTCCCCATAGTGTCTGATTCCCGAAACTTGCAATCAGGCTTAGGTCCTCAGAAAGACATGGCAGCAATCCCAGGAAGATCCTAATCTAGAATTTTGTAATTGCATTTATTTGCATGTGAGGCAAATACATACATTCTTCCTGCCTTTTGGTAAAGAGCCAAACTTTTTTCGTCGTGGGGGTTTGTATATTCTCCTGTGCTCTAATGCAGGGGTTTTTTTTTCTCCTTGGTGATTCTAGTTTATGCTTAGTGGGGTTTGTGCGTGTGTTCTTGTTTTGCCTTTTTTTTTGTTTGTTTGTTTTTGCTTAACATAAAAAGTGTAAGTACAGTGATGCTGGGTGCTTAAATAGCTTCAGACTGAGATGTATTTTGAAGATAGGGGAAGTGAGCATACTGGCAAAACTTTTATTGCTCTTTCTGAACTTCTTTTGCAGTAACCGCTGTACTTTGCCCTGTTTTGAAATTAAGGTGTTTTGTCCAACTTACTTTTTTCCAGCGTACTTAACTCGTTTGTGTCTCCTCTCTCCCCCAGAGCCTCACAATGACAGAGGAAGCATGCAGGACACGAAGTCAGAAACGAGCGTTAGAACGTGAGATAACGCATAACGATGTGGACAGTAAAAAAATAAAAATGGAGAAAGGACTATTAGGAGCAGATATAAATGCTGAAGGCGACATGAAAATAAAAACAGATCCTGGAGCTGGAAAAGTGCAAGGATTATTAAAAAGTGGAGAGGTGAAAGCAACCATCAAAGTGGAGGTTCAGACGGGAGATGAGCCTGTGGACATGAGTACCTCAAAAAGGTGAGTTACGACCTACGTGCTGCAGTTGCACTGTAACGTTTGGGGTAGCGGCACAGTAAAATGTGGTCAGATGGCACTAGGAAGAAGTTCTCTGCATCTTAAAGGTAGAGAGAATTAAAATTTTACGTGTATGTTGCAGCTCTGGCTCTTCACATGAGATTCAACAGCTACTTCTGTATAACTTCCGTACTGATTTTTCTTCCACAAGCTTTGACAGCAGTGGCAGCTGTGATGAGCAGCTGAGTAAAGAAAATATGGTATTGAATAGAAAAAACATACAAGTTATAAAGAGGATGCGCTTTGAGCTACTGATTTGAGATTTATGTGAGGAAGAGTGGTTTGGGTTTTTTTAATTGAGCTGTGATATAGGAAAAATAATAGATTATAATTGTCTAAACAGAGGAATTTTAATTGCAACTTGATTCTTCCTGACAGAGCAGTATGTATGGATAAGTCTGACTTTCTTTTTGAAGTAACTTGTGGATTTTGACACTAGAAGTATTGTGAAAAGACAGCGCCTGTCTGCAGCAATTCTCTGTAGGATAAGTTCTTAATGCTTTTTTGAAAGTCCAGCCTCCTTAAGATGTCTGAATTTTGACATCTGAAAGCATGAATTCAAAGTTCCTTATCACTTTGGAGAATTTTATTATTACAAAAATGTAAAGCTTTTCCTTTGACTTGTATATGAGATATGCACATGAATTGGGTGCTTCTGACATAAAGATTTATGGGCATCACTTTAAAGCCAGATTCCAAATCTTCCACCATATTTCTAACCCAGATTCTGGCTGTACCAGGATAAAAACTCTGTCAAAAATTCTGTGGCCCTGATGATGGCCCTTCAGAGCCTTGCTTTTTTCTTTATAGTGCAGTAAGATCCAATATATTGAGCAGGAAGTCTAGGAGCCTCGTTTATTCCTGGTTCTGACACCAGCCGCTGTTGGAGCGGCAATACGTAAGAACTGAGACCTGTCTGCAAAATGGCTTAAACAGTTCTCGGAGTAATAAGTCTGTGTTCGCTTGGATGTCGGGTATTACAGCAGTGCAGACTTGAGGTGTGAAACTGAAAACACGAGATCCTTATCAACTGCCCAGGAATTATTGGGAGGAGGGGCGCTTACGGGTGCTACTAAGAAAATAGGTATCTTTGATGTTTAATGGCAATTCATCTGTAAACTTTGCCCAACTTTTGATGCTTTTCTAAGAGAAATAACTTAGACTGCAAGAGCCTGATTACTTTATCCAAGTACTGTTTCCGTATGTGTAAAACAAGACCTCTTCCATCAGCGTGATTGAGGGGAGGTGATAGTGTTCAGCTTTCTCCATAAAACTTCTGCCAAAGGGACAATTACACAAGTTGCTCAATTTGCTATTTAGGAGGTGCATGTGTCTTGCACAGAAGCGGTTAATTGGGGTAATGGATGACTTCCATGTCAAGCAGTTGTATTGTGCTGACTAGGAGTAAATCTCTGAAGGTGTCTTTTGGCGTAATTGCTACCTACTAATTAACACAGGTATGCACGCTCTTTTTGAAGAATATCCAAAAAGATTGCTCGTACCAAAAATTGAATAAATTAGAATCAGGTATTCTAACTCCTTTGTTGCAGTACTTGCCCCCACATGCATATGCTTTTTGTGAATTTATAATATTTTTGAAATGTGTGCCAGTGTTTCTGCTCTGTTGGTGTCGGTCTCTGTTGCAGGATGCACAAACAGGATGGTGAACAAGGGGCTGTACGCTTAACTTCCCAGAGAGCATCTGGAACAATAACACCTATTTAGATGAGATGAGAGAACATCCTCTCTCCGTACAGCATTCTTATTTCAGGTGGCAACAGGATATTGTTGTATTCAGTTTCTGCAAGGAGGGAGAAGAGGCTTCCCCATACAAAAAAATATGCTTGTGTAAGGAGGCAGTCTGATCCCAAGTCCGCTGAAGTTAATAAATATAATTAAGAATTTCATGAAGCTTTGGATAAGCTCTTTGGATACTGTTGTAAGTTGGAACACCTTTCATAATGCATATTTGTATAAAATTCTTAATAGAGAGGAATTAAACCCTGGGTCATCTCAAATGGCAAAAATGAACCTGAATGATTCTGCAAACTTCTGGAAGTAAGGCAGCAGCTTCCCAGGCTCTGGGGCTCTGCTCCTGCGTCGTGGTGGTGCCTTTGGTCCGTGCGTGGCTCTGCTCCCGGAGCATAAACGTGGTGCTGAGCAGCTGACTGGCCTCAGGATGCAAATATCTCCAAGCGAATGCAATCTGAGTCTGGAGATGCCTGTGATATAGAGGAAGCTTGTCTCTGGATGAGTCTGATCCCTTGCATATATAAGAATACAATTGGCATATGTAGGAAAGGCGGATCTTAATTTCATAAGGATTTTTTTTTTTTTTTGAAGTGTGGGACTTACCTTTCCAGACCTTTGATCTTCAGAGGAATTTAGCTCGCAGCTTTCATAAGACCTGTGTCTTTAAAGCAGTTGAGCCGACTTTCTGAGGAGGTGAAAAAAGAGCTGTTGCTTAAAATGATTGAACTGCTACAAACTTCTTGGTTAAAATTCATGCTTAGTGATGTATGGTGTTTTGGCTTTTAAACGTCCTTAATGCTTTTAGAACTGAAAACATAATATTTTCCTTGGAAAAGGTGGCCCAGCAATAATCATGGTTTAGCTGACGTAAAGCTGATTGAATGGATTATCTTTCTGAAATCAGTTGATTTTCAAGATTTGACATACAAACCTGGCAATATCTCTGCATTAAACTTAAATAAATTTCTTTTAATTTTTTTTTTTTTTCCTAAACCTTGAAGTTAAATTTAAAAATAGGATCTGGTTTGAGCACATTTTCTGATGCCAGAAGAAACAGAAGAAAGTCTGTAGTGGTAGAAGTCTTTGATGAGAGGTCACACAAGGCCAAACCAAAATCTTGCTCCTCTGCCTGGCATTTTTGCAGCACTGGGAGCTAGCTGGTGTGTAATTATCCTAGACCTACTGCAGAGAAGGAATGGGAGGAAGGAGAGTCCTCCCCTCTTGATAAGGCATGTCTCGTTTGCAGTGGGAGGGTAAAATAGTGCAACGTAAATAGCTTTGCTTGTGAATACACTGATTTACATCAACATGGGTGCTGGAGGGAAAGAACATTTGTCAAACCTGGTTTGAATCCTGATGTCTTACCGTGCTTTCAAGCTCTGCTTTGCCTTTCCTCTGTTCTTCATTTCTCCTCTGTTCTTTCCTTCCCCTTAAATACATGAGTTTCCTACCACATTTGCCCTTCATTGAGCATCAGTTGCTTCCAGCTGAGGCTGGGGCTTTCTCCTGGAGCTGTTCTTGGATTGTACTGCCTGCTGCATCACGTTGCATTTATTATACTCCAGATTCAGCTCCCTTCATCTACAGTACACGTTCTGACCGCTTTCCAAGCTGGTTTTTTTTTTCCTAGTACTATTTCCTGAACCATACAAAACGAACTAGTTGCATACACAGTACTGGTTAAGCTCACTTCTGGTGTACTCACAGTAAGGTTTGGCAGAGACCACGAGTGATCTTTCTGGACACAGTCGTGTAACTGGCTATCTGGATGGGAGCTGCTGTCCTCAGACAGGTCTACGAGGACAAATTGTCCTCTCTTCTGGAGCAAAAGCATCAGGATCCTTCAGGAGCAGCATACTGTTATCCCAGCTGTAGGAAAACCTTGCTCATAAATAGAGGTGTGGGGTGTTTACAGGCGAGGATACTACTTGACCCTGTGAGCGGCTGCGTTGTGCTTGGTTGTTGCACTGTGCTATCTTAAATCCTCAAAATTATAGTAACTCTCCAAATAGATTACCTCAAAATATGTTTCACTTCAGAATTCTAAAAACCAAGGCTTCTCAGTCATACAAGGAAAGGGAGAGTGAAAAAATGGTTTTGTCACAGCACACAAGTGTGATGGCAGTGGTGAGGGTGATACTGTTAATAAAACACAAATGTAAGAGTTGGCTTCTATCTAGCTATCTATCCCCAGTTCTTGCTTTGTCTTGTTAGCAGTCTTGGGATGAACATGTCCTCTGTAAAGCAAACTGGAAAACTTTTTAGGTAGTTGAACATCTTGCTATTTTTCCTGTTATCTTCTCTATTCGCCCAGAGTGGTGTAAATTAGCATATTAACTGTCTTACTTGTATTAATTGTGGGTTGATCAAAAACAGTTTAAGGCTGGCTGATAAACAGAAATTATTCCTACAGATTTTGTATCAGTTGGGGTCTTATTTAAAAAAAAAAAAAACAACAAACCAACCAACCCCACATTCCAAAACCACTGTATGTATTGTGTCGTCTTCTCGTATTAAGCTACAGAGCCTGGATTTTCCTTCCAATTGAAATACAAGTCTGGGTAAGCCAAAAAAGTCTGCATTTGATAAGTTTGGTTTATTTTCCACAAAAATTGCTTGCACCCATATATTGTCTCCTGATGTGTGGTACACTCAAATATCAAATATACCCACAGCTTTAAGCTCTTGCTTCATGAAATTACATGTGAGCTGGCCTGACTTAAGCCACTGCTTGTTTGCTTAAATGAAAACTGCCAGGGAAGATGAGACTGAAGAGTTTGTAGGCATCCCTGTAGTTAGTGCTCTCAGGCAGATAATCTATCTGAACCCTTTAGTTCCTTCAATTTTAGGTCTTGCTGGTTACGATTCGCGTGCTTGACAAATGTTGCACTGCTCTGGAACCTCAGAATAATCATGTTCTCCTTTTGTTCCACAGGATAATTAAAAATAACATCTAATAGAAATTTTTTTGAAATTGTTTGAAAGTTGGCCTAATGGCTGTGCTCTGAATTTTCGTGTTAGGGTTTGGATGCTAAATCTTGGTGCTTTGAAGGATTTTAGGTTGGTTTGGAGGTTTTTTGGTTTGGTTTGGTGTTGGGGGGTTTTTTTTGTTTGTTTTGGGGTTGTTTTTGTTTTAATCTGGCCAAATCACATTTAAAACTTCCTAAATGAATGGATTTGACTCTGAAATT